CGTCATATTTTAAAAAGAAGATGACATGTAAACAAATCTAGCCAATCAGAAACCTGGGGGTAAATTAGTAAAAACCGAATTTAGTACACAATTTAATTAATTAATCATGCTACGTTAAGACGCCAAATAAAAAATATTAGTTGACTCGTGTTAAATTATCACAATACTGAGTCATTTATATTGCATACTGCTTCGTGTTAGATTATTGCAGTATATACTGAACTAATAAAAATAAGCCGTAATTTATAATAAAAGGGTCTTCAGTACAAAGTTCTGTTCCGAATTCAGGTGAAAAAACAGTTGATAGAACGTGGTTGCATTAAAAAAAGTGCACATATGTATTTACAAGTATTTTTGAAAACGAACCTGCCCCTCGAATATTCGCCCAGTATATACACTTATTTTAAATTTGTAAATGAGCTGAAGTGCCAAATATATCGAAATCCAGTCCCAAAAATCGTGATGCATGTTGATCGAACATCCCGCATAATACTTTCTGTACCGTGTGATGTACGAATATTTATGGCTTTTTGTTAAAAACCGCCCCTTGAAAACAAACATATTGTCATTAATAATACGCTCTGCATCAAATTTATACACAGCCCAAAACTAGATATTGATATATATAATCGCATAATAGTGCTAATTTAGATTATATAAATTCCTTTAGAGCAATTTTTTTACCAATATTCCACCTTGCCTTCATGTCGATAAGACGATCGCTCAAGTTATTTGCATGGGTTCATGGAATTCAACAGAGCCATGATAGTCCTGTGCTTTAACGAAGGTGTTTTGTCTGGTCCATGAAAATACACAACCTAACCGTACCTTTAATATATAGTCTTCTCAGGTGTAGTTATAGCCTTTCGAGGCAGGCCCAGGATCCGACTATTACCTCCCTGCAATTTACTTCTTCTTCTTCCAATAGTCATGCAAAAAATTTCGTCTCTATTGAGCGATAGGGCCTCTGACTTTGTTTATTCACATTTACAAAAACCTAATTTTAGAGGGTGTGATCATCACTATAATTGTCTATGTAGTAAGGAGAGGAAGACCGAACAAGCTTCCTACGGTTTAGTCCACTGAGCTACGAGATAAGAAATAGTTTGAATGTATCCACCTCGAAACACATAACATTTTTCTTTATCCTGGGCGTGATCGTCATCCTCAATGTGGGGCGTGTATTAGGGGAAGGTGACGCAGACTTCCTAAACAACTGAACCACACCACAGAGAGTGATTGAATGTATCCACCAGAAAAAAAAATATAAACAAAATCTAATCTTACCAATGTTCCTATACTACCATAGATGAGTAAAGTTAAATTCGATCTGAACCAGGTATGTATAGCATTTCAAATTTGTTAATTGGTGTTGAATCGCTTTTGTGTTGATAGATCGGTTACTTGCTTACGGGTATGCATAGTTATGCAAAAAATTTCGCTTGAGTCTTCACCTCTTGACGATAGGGCCTCTGACTATGTGTGTTGTGTATTCGAAAGGGCATAATCATCATTGCTGGTGGCCCAGTACTTTGACTTGGGTGGTTTGTTCAGTCCGCAAAAATAATCAATTAGGTGATTCGATTAGACCACATAAAATATAATTTTAATCGTGTTTTTTATTTTTTATAAAATGCACTCACTGCCTTAACTATGCCAACTAGCACAAGGAAAATTCCTTCCAATTATGAGAGATCCGCAAACCCATGTAGGTTACAAATATAAATCCAATATGTTTGTAATGGAATAAAAATGAATTCTACATTATTATAATATAAGTTGATAAAGAATCACTATAAATAGCCAAAAACGTTAAGAAACACCAAAATCGGCTATAAACTATTTATAATCATAAAATGGTTAAAACTAACTACTATTCTGGTTTAAATTCCGTAATAGTGCAGACGTTAAACAATTTGCAATATAGGTATATTGATGAAATGCCTGAAATGTAGTGTTCTCGTATTCGTTATCCATTTAGACTACTTCTTGAAAATAACCCAAAATACTTTTCGAAGAATGGATTTATCCATTTGACTGAAAGATTTAGAGATGGTGAATTTAAAATTGGGAAGCGTTCATTTTATATTTATTGCACTGTATGCGACACCTTGGTATTTATTCGTGAAAATACCATTGAATGTGCCAATCATCACCTGAATGAATGCATTGCTAAAACAGCTAAAAGGCGTTTTGTCCTGTTCAGAAAAAAGGAGGAAGAGTGTTATCACTTAGTTCCGGTGAGATTGATAAGATTTATCTAACATATTTGGTTATCTACAGTAAAGGTTTGAATCATTATAGTTATGATCATTCACATGAAGGTAGAGAAAGGATTGTAAAACGTTTAATTAATACTGCAAAAGTTATCCAACGGGCTTGGAGAGCTTTCAAGTTGAGACCCAAAACATGGGTGAAAAGAGTTTGGAATATGGTGAGGAATGATGGTACTCCCAATGAGAAGAAGTTTTTAGATATAACTCTTTGTGATATAAGAATTCCTGATGATCGATATGTATGGTATATTGATCGAAAATTTCTAGCTAAAGATGTACCTGTATATCATTAGAATGGTCTATATGATCATTATAATCCATACATATGGGCAGAAAAAAAGAGAGATCAGTTACGTGAACGATTAAATTTTGTAGCATATATACTTGCTTTTATAATATTACATTGGCAAGGCTATAGAATCATTAAATTTTCAGAATGGACTTATATGTTAAAGTGGCTATCGAATCTTGAATATTACCGTATTAATAAATTTGGTAATGAAAGAATTGTTAGAAGTTTAGAGTATACGCGATACATATGTAAAACACATGGCAAATCATATCCATGTGATTCACTAAAAATCAACTATTTCGAAACTAAATATTTCTATTTCCAGGGAAAAGATGTTAACATAGTTTTCTCAGATTTTAACAATAATTCTGAATATGTGCAATGAATTTTCCGGACCATGGATTCGCTGCCAGCCAAAGCAGGCGTTACATATTTATTATAATAATTTATTTTTTTGTAGAAACACGATAACATATATTAATAACTAAACTCTATTCATCTAACGCTAATGGCGCATCCCATCCTAGTCTAATTGCTAAAGGGTTGTCTACTGGTTTGGTAAAATCGAAGACCACAAATTCTCGCTCTCGTAAATGTTTATCGATAATTTTGGATGCTTTTTTTGGATTATCCGTATATTGATGTACGACTCTGCTAATGTCGTCT